TGGGGGGAAGCTGGCGGCGGGAGGGGTGGGGGGTGTCTCAGTATCTGGGACGCGATGGGGGGAGGACCGGGTGGCAAGCGCCGGAGGCGGGGCCCGGCCCGTCGGGCTCGCTGCACCTGCGGAATGTCCCTCCCATCAGTTTCGGGCGCAGTTTCTCGACTCACCATTAGGGGGAGGGGCGCCCAGAACCCTTGACAGCGAATAATCACAATAGCCCACGTTGATTTAGTGCGTTGCACATGCCAGGCCTTTTACTCACCTCTCGCTTCGTCCTCGCCAGAAACCCTATATGGTAGGGGGTACGGGCCTTCCCACTTTGGCTAAGCAAACAGGAGGTTGAGCCGTCCTCCTCAGTCCTCGTGTCCACTAAGGGGCGGAACAGGGGTTTAAACAGATCTGGGATCCTTAACCATCACGCTGTGCCCTGGAGGGGCTCATGATCCTTCAGCCGTCGCTGTTCACCCGAGAGTCCTAGAGAGGGAGTCGTGTTGTCATCAGCACCCTTCATGCAAAAACACAGCCAGGAGGGCACATTTGGTTCCCACCCAGTCTCTGCCCAGACAGGAGTGCTAGAGAAGGTGTGTCCCAGACAAACGAATCTCCTAGGGAGGGTCCCCCAGCAGACGTTCTCATTCACAGGTGTTCCTTGCAGGTGCCCCATGACATGGGGGGAGACAGATGTTTACTCATGGAGACGCCCCACGTAGGTGTCAGGCGGGCGTCGATACACGTGAGCCTCTGTCCTGCTGGTTCTCTTCACAGATGCCTCCTCCCAGGTATTCCCTTCGCCTGAGCACAGTTCTATACAGGTATTCTTCATAGAAGGTGGTTTCTTGGACCTCACGGGTATGATTCTCGACAGATGTTCCTCCACCCGTGAATGCATTATGCGGTCTTTCTCCCCAAAGTTGTGTTCCAGTTACAGGTACACCCATCTGAGTACGTTCCCATATAACTGCGTCCCATCCAGGGGTACTTAAGTACAGGTGTGTCTCACGCAGGCATTTACAATAGAGTTTCACGCAGGAATTCCCCCATACAAGCGTTGTATGTTTCACAGACGAGCCGTGCAGATGTGTCCAAAACAGGCTTACTCTGCCTGCGTCAGGTGTTTCTTATAATGCAGGTGTGCTCGATACGGATAATTCAATGCAGATGCCTTGCCTAAGATTTTTAAAACTATAATTCTTTAAATTTTTATTTTTATTTTTTGGGTATTTTTGGTAGAGACAGGGGTCTAGCTATGTTGCTCAGTCTGGTCTGGAACCCTGGGCCTCAAGCGATCCTCCCGCCTCGGCCTCTCAAAGTGCTGGGATCATAGGTGTGAGTCATCCTGCCCGGGCTCCCTAAGAGTTCTTTTTACCCGTGATCATCCGTGCTGGTGTCTTCTACATAGGTTTGCTACCCCCCATCTGAGTCTGCCCCCCGGCAGGAGGACCTACCTGCCCTGTAGGTGTCTACATGCTCCATGCGTCTCCGCACCTGCGCGCCCCTACGGATGTGCATGCAGTACAGGTGTGAGGTCCTTCCTACACCTGCGCTTCCGAGGATTCCCTGCCCTCGCCCCCCCCAACCATAGGACTGGGTTCCCGTTACAGGTGCGCCTGCGGCCCCGCCCCCTTCTCGGCCCCGCCCTTCATCTGGGCTCAGGTGCACAAGCCGGAAGTGCGCTCCCCTCCCAGGTGAGTGACTAAACTTTCCGGGTCACGTGAGCGGGCGGAGCCGGTGGGATCGGACCGAACGACCGACGGGCCGAAGGTTCGAGGGGGGACCCGGGACCTGGAGCCCCGAGCGAGGTCGAAGGCGCCCGGGCCAGGTAGGGCAGGGGGACGCGAGGCGGCGCCTGTCCCCTCTCCTCTCCACCCCGTCCCCCTGCCTTTCCCCAGTCCAGGAACGCGCGCCCGGGAGTTAATCTTTAATCGCTGACCTCTGGCGGGTGGGGCGGGACTCCAGGGTGCCCTGGCGCCGGTCGCCTCTCCTGTGGGCCTGAGCCCGGGTCCAGCCCCCCACCCCACGCCCGGGCCTGTCGCCTCCCGTCTGCAGGTGTCCAGTCGCAGGTAGCCCCGGCCCGAGATGCGATAGGAGGGGCGCGCACCAGAAGCCCCTTCCCCGGTGCTGCCAACCCGCCACCCAGCCCATGGCGAACCCCGGCCTGGGACTGCTCCTGGCGCTGGGCCTGCCGCTGCTGCCGGCCCTCTGGGGCCGAGCCTGGGGACAAAGTAGGTACCAGCCGGGAGCGCTGGGGGGAGGGGTTCGGATTCCTGGGTCTCTGCTGGATTCCTGGGTCTCTGCTGGGTACCTGGGCCAGGGAGAGAGCCAGGAACTGGGGCACAGGCATGAGATACCTTGGGTTAGGTCTACAGGGTTAGGGCTGGGGGGGTTAGCATTTCCTAGCTTCTTTCAGGGTCGTAGGAGTTGGTCTTGGAGAATTCCCCAGGGGGGTGGGATTGTAGGCAGGAATGCTGCATTCTAGAAAGACTTGGGTGGTGGGGAGGCTAGCCCACCTGACTCTTGGTACAGTTGAAGTGTTTTGGGTGGGCTGAAAGCTAGGAGGAGGCCTGGGTTGACCCCACCGGCTCAAGGGGTGGGCCCAGTCATTCAGTCCTTAAATTCCAGTTGTGGCAGCCTGGGGGGAGGTGTGTGAGTCAGACACTGCAGGGAAAAAGCAAGATCCGCCCAGGTCCTTAAGGTCCCAGGGCCTGAGTGGTAACCGTGATGAGGTGGAGGGGAGGGTTGGGCTTCCGGACACCTTCCATTATAATAGCCCCCAACTCTGTGTAAACAACTGTGGTCAGATGGCTCCCTGCTGGGCTCTGCTGGGCCAGGGGAAGCCAGAGGAGCCAAAGCAGATGCAGCAGGGAACGGCCCTGCCTCATGGCGCCCACTGTCTCTGTGGGAATGGCAGAGTTGTCACTGGGCCCTGCTGGGGACTTGGGGGAATGCCCAAGAAGGGTGTAGGTGGACAGGGAAAGATGGGAACTGATTCACTTTCTCTATCCAACCCTCACAGTACCGACCCCCTCACCACCAACCCCCCCCC